AAAGAAAAATTGAGACCATAAAATTAAGGAAGGGATTTTGAACACATTTATATTTGTGTCTGCTATCCATTAAATGTTGATTTAAGGTTTTCTGACCTTCACTGCCATAAAGAGCAGTATTTCTAGATGTACAGCAGATGAGATGGTATTTAAAGAACCCAAGTCTTGCTCCAGTTTTTTTCTCTAGGTTTTTTTTTTTTTTTTCTTTAGATTCCTTGAGGTGTTTGGAGTTTGGGAGGAACTACTGGAGATGTATTAATCTAATCCCATCGATTTACAGATAAGGAAATAGCTCCTAGAGGTTGCCTGAGGTTACAGAGTTTATCTCAGACCCAGAGGCCAGTTCCTCACAGTGGTCTACAACCCTGAAAGAAACAGCTGACTGTAGGCACTACTGCTTATTAGAGCTAATAATGATAATACTGTAATTATTTTAGGATGCACAGAAAACAAGGCTTATATATTCTGGCTACAGGCACATAAGCCGTTGTTTTGAGAACTTGGATAGTAAAGCAAATTGTTAGGCAGAATTTATCGAGGAAAGCATAAACTAGAAGCACACTTATAGTCTGAATTTTCATGCTCCTTCCGGTTGGTTTGTGTGGATTTGAAAATGTGTATTTACAAAGACTAACTTGGGGGCAAACAGAGCTCTTACATCTATGTGGCATAATATACTTCAGTGATACATTATTTTAATTGGGAATGATTCATATTAATTTGGGATCATTTATTTTGCCAACATTTAATTGGGACAACCACATGCTGGCAAAACAGCCCAAGCTGGGTTTTAATCGTAAAACTATTATAAAACACATTCCAACACCCTCAAGGAAACTTCACTGTTGAAAATACAAGAAAAAAAAAAATCCTGACATAGAAATTATTATTTGCTGATACGTTATTTTATATATATGTTTTTAACATATAAACTTCATGGAGGACAGAGTCTCTTTTCATTTCTGTATTCCCGCATGCCCAGCTCATTGCCAGGAACATAAATACTGGAGAATGAATGAGTGGAAAAGGAGAAAAAAGAGAAAGCATTCTACAGTTCTAGAATTGCTGGGTTTAAAAAGATAATTCTAAATCAAGTCAAGCAGCAGTTATGTTTGTAAATGTGTGAGAAATTCATGTGGATGAAATCTCAGTTTTCTTTTATTACTTTCTTTTATAATTCTGAAATGAGTGAGTTTGGAGAATTCAGTGTTTATGTCCAGTTCAAACAAAGTGAAATTAAAGTGAATTAAAGAAAAGCTGGCAAGGAGTAAGGAAAGGAAAAGTTTATATTTTTAAAAAACCTAAAGTGATTGATGTATTCAAATTCCTGGATTATATAATCTTCAAGGAAAGATACAGACTTTTCCTCTATTCTGGAATAATGATGATGGTGGTCCTAGGGCTATCTATAGATGTCCAGGCCCGAGCAGTCTGTTTCACCAGTACAATCCCAGTTAAAATGCCAGTCTGAGGGGTTGTACAGGCCATGATCATAGGGATCCTGGAGAGATCCCGCTGGTATGTGCACTGGGCCTTAAGGAGGCAGGCAAAGGTGCAATTTCTAAGTGATCATGTATCCTAGGGGACAAAATTTGTCCCAGAAAAATCATGAAGTAGGCAAACTCCCCTGGGCTTCAGTGCATTCTTTTCTAAAATTAAGAGATTAAGTTCTAAAAATGCAAGAACTCCAAGATGGCTTGGAGTTTTTTTATACACTGTAGAGCTACCTTACAGGGCTGTTGTAAGGGTGCATACAAGGTGCTTGGTACAGGGCCTGACACATAGTAAGCCCTCCACGAAAGGGGTCAGTGATAATGATGCTGATGGTGATGATATTCTTGGTTGCCCAGTATTCCCCATCTATACCTTTCTTCCACCTGCAGTCACCTACTGCAATATTTTCCCTGTACCACTTTAATATTTTTTTGTTGTTTTCTTTATTTGTTTTAAGGTGTACACTTTTATTGAACTGGTCTCATCAGGTTTTTTGTTTTTTTTTAATTAAAATGTATTATACTCTTACTTACCTGAGCCACCCTTAATTATCATTATTATTATTATTATTATTATTATTTTATTTTATTTTTTTAGAAAAACAGGGCCTTGCTCTGCTGCCCAGGCTGGACTACAGTGGTGTGATCAGGGATCACTGCAGCCTTGACCTAGGCTGATGCAGTCCTTCAGCCTCAGCCTCCTGAGTAGCTGGGACTACATGTGCGAGCCACCACGCCTGGCTAACTTTCTTTTTTAATTTTCTTTTCTTTTCTTTTTTTTTGATGTACCACTTTAAAAACAAAGTCAAAAGAAACTACTGTAGACCTCAAACTGGTAGAGTCAATTTGAGACCCTTCCCTTGGAGACCAGAACCTGGTGTAACTTTCTCTTAACAGAGGTTAATAGCCAGTGGAGGTCAGGGTGGGAACTCACTGAATCCGCATCACACAGAATCAGGTACCTCTCACATTCACGAAAGTGAATTATTTTTAATCAGTTGTGCTGACAGTATGCCTCTTGCAAAAAGAACTAGCCCTAGAGGCCGGGCGCGGTGGCTCACGCCTGTAATCTCAGCACTTTGGGAGGCCAAGGTGCGCGGATCACGAGGTCAGCAGATCGAGACCTTTCTGGCTAACACAGTGAAACCCCATCTCTACTAAAAATACAAAAAAAATTAGCCAGGCGTCGTGGCGGGAGCCTGTAGTCCCAGCTACTCGGGAGGCTGAGGCAGGAGAATGGCCTGAACCCGGGAGGCAGAGCTTGCAGTGAGCCAAGATCTCGCTACTGCACTCCAG